AGGGAAGTAGGGTGTGGGAGAGCATCTGGCTTTCAGACAGTGGCTGTCCGCGTGACAGCTGTTTGTTGATCAGGCTGCAGGAAGTGTTGCTTGACAGCCTCATGACATCTTCTGATGCTCCATCTGCAGAAGTTGTGCAGTGTTGGATATGGCCCACGGAGATGCTGCAGGAAGCACATGAAGGAGAGAAAAAGCGGAAGCTTCGGGCAGATCATCAGGCTAAAGCCAGAGCTAAGAAAGTGATCATTTTAGGAAGGACTTTTAATGTCCTTTAATAGCCTCTTAAATTACTATCAGTGACCTGTAAGCTCAAGAAAAGGTTTTGCCATTGAAAAATTAGCTTGGGATGGAGAAAAAGTTCTAGAATCTTGAAAAAAACAAAAACAGATCTAGATTTTGCTTTTAAGGTAATTTTGTTGCTAGGACTGAGGAAAGAGGTCCCTTTTAGGATAAGCCAATCTCTTCTTGTAATGGATCTGCTAAAGTTAGTAGTACAATACAGCAGTGTTCCACCCAAAAAGAAATCTCATTTCATTTAGTTTATATCCCCAACATCTAGAACAGTGCCTGGTACTTAAACAAAATAACTGTTATCTCCAAGGAGCCCCATTAAGTCCTCATTCACCTAGTGGATAACCTGACTAATGCCAAGAAAGGAACTACTACAGGGGAACAGGAATGAGAAAGCCCTTTAGTGTGCAAGCAACTAATCATGACTACATACATTTCACTAATAACATTCCTTGCATTCATAAATACATGGATAAGAAAATGGCCCAGGAATCAGACTGCCCCAGTTCAAATCCCGGCACCAAACCTTGCCATCTGTGAACCTGAGCAAGGAACTAACTTTCCGCATTTAAACACACACAAAAAAGGAGGTAACACTGTGTAAGATAGGATAGTGTCCACTGAGTAAGACACCTGAAAGGATGAAATGAGAAGCACAATTCCTAGGGCACCAAAGTGCTTCATTAGTGTTAGTAATTATTCTTTTTTTTTTAATATATATATATACCCATAGTCATATCTGTGGGAAGAATATGGATCAGAGGTTTACTTTTCCCCACCAGAAGAAATGGCCTTGAATGAGGACTTGGCAATCCAATGCATTCATTTCCCTGAGGGACAATGGAAAGAAAAAAATTGGCTCTTACGTCTGGATTTTTTTTTAACCCTTCCTCAAATCTCCATCTCTCTTCTTGCCTTTTCCCCCCATGTCTGCATAAAAGCTCTCATAAGCTCTTGTGGGTCTGGCTTAGCCACGGGTACTGCTGGCTCCTAACAGACAGTTCTCATCTCTGCTCTGCAATACTGCTGTGGTGGTGGGCAGAACATGTTACCATGTGGGGCTTCACTTCCACATCTGTGTAACAGAGAAAGAGTATAGGGATGGAGTGGATTATCTTTAAGTTGCCATCCAAATTTAAAACCCACAAATAAGTAACTGATAATATCAGTCTATTCAAGTCAAATACTGACCTAAACTACTTGAAAGTACATTTTAACTATATTTGGAATACCACACAAATATGGGCACTCTAAAAGCCAAATTCTCCTGGTCTTAGTTTCACAGAACACGTGAACACCCTGAAGCTTTTATTCTAGTCATCACAATGAAACAAACTCATTAAATCAGAACTTTCTCTTAGGACCATTAGGTGCAAGTGTTATTTGCAAGCATCTGGGTACAAACACTAGGCATTTCTACGCACTATAAATTACCAAACCAGTGTGTATAATTTCAAGGTAAATGAGCAGAGAATTGGCGATCTTGAAGAATCTGAGTTGTCATTCAGCACCAGAGAAGGTAACTGAATAGAAATCCACTTAGAAGTCTCACAACTTTCTTTGGCTACCTTTGTACTACCTAACATCTCTCCATCACACTGGGTTTCCATTAGGAAAAAGGGTCTATTTAAAATGACATTACAGGTTAACAATTGACATGAAAAAACATTTATAATATACATTTCTGGTGAAAAAGGCAGATTACATAATATTATCAGCAATATTAATTCTATTTTGTAAACATATGCATACAGCTATACACATTATCTGATAGGACACACTCCAAGCTGCTTAAGAATTTTCTTTAAAAAGTGTTTGCATATCTATATTTTTATTTTCTACAATGAACACATGCAACTTTTTAAATAATAATTCAAACACGTGTTTTATTTAACAAGAAAAATGCATCTGACATCCAAACTGTTAACCAAATGCCTCCCAGAAGGGACCTCAGCACCTAGGGGTTCCCCTGAACAGAGGCATGACATCCTTTGTGCCTTATGCCTATGACTAAGCTAGGGTGGTAATGCTGAGATGTTTCTAGATATCAGCTATCAGATGCCACTAAGAAGGACCAGATCTCTCCCTCCTGTTTGCCTCAACTTCCAGAGCTATCTGCTTCCCACTTACTAGGTTTACTAAATTGTAACCCTCCAGGCAAAGTTTACAAAACATGACCAAAGATCCTAAATTACTGCTCAGGTTTTAACTTTCAACATTCACTGGTTTAGAAGAATCAGTGACAGAAAAGCCCAAGTTACTCTGACAGCAATCCAATTTTAAAAGTTGAAGCTAACTACTATCCCTCCTTTCAGGCCATTCAATGCCAAAACTTTCTGATCACAAGAAAAAATATAATAAGCCATCATGTTTAAAAGCATCATCTTCAAATACTTTATCCCATTAAACACTTTTTAGCACAAAGTGCTGACTCTTGATAGACTCTGGCATACTGAGGGCAGCTGCTGCTGAACCTTCTGAGAGCTGATCAGCCAAGAACAACTTCATCACCAGGCACAGGTATTATTACACTATAAGGCATGAAGTTGTTCTGGCAGCTCAGTGACCAACCAGCAAAAAAAAAAAAAAAGTCTAAGAAATCTCAATTTTCCAGTTTACAAGAGCAAAGCGCTACAAAGACATACACCAAAAGCAATATGAGGGAAAGGAGTAGAAACTAGTTTTCAGAAAAGTGTTCTGAGGGACGACTCCTACTGATGCAGCCAAGAGGTTACCAGACCCAGTGCTCACACAGGTACATAAGCTAGGCCTCACCGTTTGTCACATGCATCTCCAATAATGTGATGTCCAGGAGAAGCTATACACTTAAAAACAAACTGCTTTTCAACCCCTCATTCCCTTATCTTCTGAAAAACCATTCACAATGTAAGTCACAGCCTTATCCTGTTACAAAATATTTTTAGAGACAGATTACAACAGAGTGTCTACACAGCATTAGCTGATGGCAAAAAAAAAAAAAATTGCCAATTATAAGGATCTGAAAATGTGACCACTTCAGGCTTATTTTGGGGCTGAACCACTCCCCTTCCCTAACTATCCCTCAAAGGAAATGTATCAGGCACTGTGGGCAAAGAGGGAAAACACGTCTAATTACAACATGTGCACTTGGTGGATTAAAAATTCGAACATTCTTGAACTCTGGCCACATTTCAAAAGATCCACTTGTGGTTTAATCTCACTGAAAAGGAAAGGTTAAAGATTACTTGTACTTCAACCGGGGCTCCATCAGAAAAAAACACAGAGAAACTGACGTTACTTACCAGTGATACTGCCGAAAATTCAAGATGACCCTGACTCCTTATCGAGCACTTACAGAGGAAGTGGTTTTTATTTTAAAATTAGGACTGAAAATAATTTCAAGAGTACTCTCCATTTCAAGAGGACTCCCCACTGTAAGACATATATTTTGAATATGAAGATGCATACGCAAAGGCTCCCGACCCCAGGTGGCTTTTCAGAAGCAGTCCCGGATCAAGACCTCTCATCCAGACCACCTGCCTTTGCTTTACAGAGGTGGGAAGACAGCTTAAAACAACTGAGTTTGGTCGTGCTTCTGCTCTCTGGCGATTAAGGTGCTGGGGGAGAGGAGCAGAGAAAACCTTACGAATCCAAAACGAGGTCGCATCTAATTAGGCATTTGGATTTGGAGCTACAGCTCAAGAATCCCTCAGGGTGACCTACAAGCTGTAACCTCTCTATGTCTCCTGTAACTCTCCCCCTCACCCACTGGCGCTTCCGCAGGGCTGGCCTTCTTGACTGATGCTTCCCCAACACTCCAGGCTCTTCCTTCTACCTGCACTATTCTTCTCTCAGACCGCAGGCATCTTCCAAGTCTACTCAAATGCCAACAGCCAAAAAAGGGAAAAGGTGCCTGCTCTTTTCCCATGATACTTATCACGTAATTTGCCACGTAATTTACCTACATCTGTTTTATCTACTGTTTCCCTACTCTCTCCCGCAGGCTTCAGGATAGCAGGGATCTTTATTTAATCACTTACATCCCACACCTTTAAAACAGTGCCTGACACAGAGTAGGAGCTCAAAAATTTTTTTTTCTGAATTAATGAATGAACTTAACAGTAAAACTCCAGGAGGAAAGCGAGAGGGGGTGGAAAGGGTGGTCTTGAGGGGATGAATGAAAAGGAGAAGAAACGACAGAGGGGAATTCACAAGGGAGAGGCAGAGAATGGCTGAGGCCGGGCCGACCCCCAGTTTCTCCCCGCAGTGCTGACAGGAGGCGGGAGGCAGTGCACGGTATCCCGCCAGTGGCATCAAATCGACTTAGAAGCGGGCAGCTGAGACAAACGAGCTCAGAAGACTCACTGAGAAATTCCTAAAGGCGGGCAGACCCCCTCCGGCGGCGGGCTCCGGGGAGGCCCCCCCCCCCGGGCTCCGGACCTGCCAGCCCTTCCCCTCCAGCGGTACCCAGAACCCCAGCTCTTCGGGGTGGTCAGGGCGGCTCGGGCCCCTTCACCTGAGGGCCAGCGAACAGGGCCCCGCGCTCGGGCACCTGCCTGCCGGCACCGGAGGTCCCCAACCGGCCCGCGCGAGGCCCCAGCGCGCCCGAGGGCCTCACCCCGCCCGGCTGCCCTCCCGCACACCGGCAGGAAGCGCCCGCGGCAGGGAAGGGGCTCCGCCGCGCCCCGGCAGCTCCAGCCCGACGCCCCGCCCGCGGGGTGCCCCCTCACCTCGGGGCGCACGTACGACACGAAGGAGGGCTTGGGAGCCTTGGTGCCGCTGCCACCGCCGACTACCCCTTTCCCTAGCATACCGCCGCCCTAGGAAGCAGCGACGCGCGGGAGCAGAGGCGGCCGCTCGGGTTCCGGCAGCGGCGGCGGCCACCAGCACTGGAGGCTGGGGCTCCGCCCATCCCCAGGGCAGCGGCCGCCCCGGCGCCGCCCGCATCCGGCTCGGCCGCTAACACTATTCGCCCCGCCCATCCGTCGCGACGGCTCCGGGAGCCGGAGGCCACGCCCTCCCCGCTCCGGCAGGCGGGTCTGAAGCGCAGATTCACTTTCCCAGATAGCAGCACTCCAACCCTCCTGGCAAAGCCCGCCCCTATGCGTTCTCTGATTGGCCAGAAGGCGCTGCCCGGCGAGCCCCACGCCAAGCCCCTTCTTAAGTAAACCTGGAGAGATGTTTCCTCTGACCAATCCAGAGAGTATTCTCTCCGGACTCCCCGGCGATTGGATAGCCGTCATCCAATGATCCTACGCTCACTAAATTATGAGCGGGTGGTTCATTGACGTTCTGCTTTCTTGTCCTATTGAAATAAATCTTCCAAAAGTGTGGTATAATGAATCCCAAGGTATGGGTTCCAAACCCACATCAATGACGTTCAGATTCATCATTTCATTTTTTCTGTTTTTCAAAATTGAGTATAGTTGATATATACTACTATTCTGGTTTCAAGTATACAGCATAGTGATTCAATAGTTACATACAGTCCTCACCCCCAACTAGTGTAGTTACTATTTATCAACACAGAAAGATGTTACAAAACTACTGACTATATTCTCTATGCTGTACTTTCATCTCCGAGACGAATTTATATTCCACTGAGATTTTGTGCCTCTTTATCCCCTTCACCTATTTCACCCTCCCACACCAATTCCTTCCCAGGGGTGATCACCAGTCACTTCTCAGTGTCTGTGAGTCTACTGCTGTTTTGTTCATTTTGATTTTTTAGATTCCACATATAAGTGAAATCATTTGATATTTGTCTTTCTACACCTGGCTTATTTTACTTAGCATATTAACTCCTAGATCCATCCATGTTGTCACAAATGGCAGGATTTTCTTTTTTATAACTGAATAATATTCCATGTGTACTACATCTTCTTTATCAATTCATCTATTAAAGGACACTGGTTGCTTACATACCTTGGCTATTAAAAACAATGTGCCAATAAACATGGGGGTACATATCTTTTCTAATCAGAGATTTTGTTTTCTCAGTTAAATTCCTACAAGTGGAATTACTAGGTCCAATGGTATCTCTATTTTTAGTTTTTTAGGACTCTCCCTATTGCTTATAGTGGTTGCACCAATTTACTTTCCTGCCAAAGAGTAGGAGGGTTCCCTTTTCTCCACATCCTCACCAACACTTGTTATTTCTTGTCTTTTGGATAGCAGCCATTCTAACTTGCATAAGGTGACACCTCATTGTGGTTTTGATTTGCATTATTAGCTGGATGATTAGTGATGTGGAGCATCTTTTCATGTGCGTGTTGGAAATCTGTATTTCTAGGTTCATTATTTTAAATGTAAGCAAAAATGAGGCAAACCAGGTGTTAAGACTCACTTAGGAACAGGTTTGAATATTTGAACATAAAAGGCCTTGTTGGCCTCATTTTCCCAAACTTTTTGCTTTTGTGTGTTTCTAACAGAATATCAAAAGACTTCTTTTATCTTCTCTCCCAAGTTACCAATAAAATCCTCATATTTAATGAAAATTCTAAAAATGTATTCAAATTTCACATCTGGCCCCAAGCATTGTATTAGACACAGATGAGTAAGGTAGGAGCTTGCTATCAAGAAATTCAGTCTGGTGGGAAAAACTAGTAATAAATATTAGCAGTTAACTTTTTCAGTGTCAAGGCATTGTACTAAGCATTAGTCTCATCATGAATAATGCTCTTTACCCTCTTCATCATTATAACCTCCTCCCCACAACAAGTCACTCCAAATACACCCAAAATCTACGTGAAACCAAATGTGCTTACTTTCGCAAACACAATTTCAGGACACATCCTATAGCCCCATTTTCAACTACATTGCTGTTAACCCATTTCCCTATAGTAGTACTGGAGTCACCATTGAGTTGCATTATCTCAGTTTTCAAGTGAGAAGATAGATGCAAGTAATATGCCCAGTTCTCACAACTAGTCACTGACAGCTGGGATCCCAGCCCTGATTCCAAAGCCCAAAATTTTAAGATTATAATTACACAAATTAGGAAGGAGCACAATAAAAGGGTGGAAAATTCTATCTGGGAAGGCTGAGTCAGGCTGCACAAAGGACACTCCTTATAGAGATGTTGAAGAATGAATATTTGTCGGGACTAATATCACTTTATTTTTCATAGCAGTTTTTACTTTCAAAGGAAATGGCAGGGCACATTATTACAGCCTGAGCAAATTTTTACTTTCTTACTTTTCAAAGGATTTTGAATTTCCACAATCTTCCACCATAGTCAGTATGTTAGCATCGGTACCCATGGCCAGGGGCTGGCTTCTTGGACATGCAGTTAGCACATTGATATAAGGCCCACACTTAGATGGGCTTGGGATTTAGGGCTGTACAGATTCCTCCTTGAAATTCTTAATCATTTTATCTTTGAATTTGAATTTTTAAAGTAAATTTTGATTGGACAATGGAGCAAGCCCAGGGGTCTGGGAGCCTCAGCTCCTGTGCAGATCCACCTCCCATCCTCTCCCCACCTCCTCTCTGTACCCACACCTTTGGCACCCTGGCTCTCCCTGGGCATCCCACACTGCTGCCCATCTCTTTCAGGACAGCAACTGGCCTCATGCTGACAAATGGGGAGGGGAAGTCATATGTTTCAGCTCTGGACAAGTTCACTATGGATTCAATGTGACTGAAGAAATGACACTAGAACATTCTTGGGGCAAAAGGGTTTATTACCTGGCTTGTTCTCCCAGTGGTAGGTTAAGCACTAGCATCTCTACCTCTGCTTCTCTACCTGCACAGCTGTCCTCTGGGCCTCTGCCCTCACAGCCGTCCCAGTCTCTGTCCTCGGTGCTGCCACTACAGCCTCTTCTCTGCTTTCCTGCAGCCTTGCAGCTGTGCCACTGTGTCACCCAGAGCAACATATTGCCCACATATGTGTAGTGAGCTAGCTGACCAGGGCAAGGTGAGAATCCTGGCCACAGGAACCTTCACCTAATCTAGTCTCCACCCCTCCAGGATTCTTGCCTCTCAATCTATGCACCCTCAATCCTCTACAATGGTCCCAATGCAAGGAAGCTGGAACATTGCAACCAAATTCCATAATAACAACAGAGGCTACAAAAATATACAAATAACAAAAGTTACAGCAAATTATAATAACCCTCAAGCCTGAGGAGATCCATTGCCACCAAGTGGTCATCCTGGCTGTATTCAAACCAGTTCTAATCAAATGAATTAACCAAAAGGGGAATGGTGGCCTTACAATACCCACCTTCTCCAGTCTTTCCAGACACACAGGCTGATCTTGTTGCTTTATCTCTGCCTTCTGCTTTGTCCTCAGCAGCCTGAAATGCTGCTCCAGTCTCAGTTGTTGCCACAGCTCCAGTCATCTGATTTCTTTCTGTCTGCTCTTGCCTTACCAAATCAACCCACATCTGGGTCCTCATGGCCTTCACAGGGCCCTTTAAGTTCTTCCTTAGAAAAGCAGAACATATTTCCTTGTGTGCTTGAGCCTGAGGATAGAAGCAGAGCATGGAGTGCTCCATGACCTGAGGAGGGGGCTGCACCTCTCCTTAAAGAACCCGTGGTTGCTGAGTCCTTCTGGCTTTCCACCAGCTTTCAACAAGGTGGGGTTTTAACAAAGGAGACACAGGCAGGGCCTCCACCCCCACCTGTTCGTCAACCTCCGCTCCTCCATTTCTGGGGTTGAAGACTCCACTACATCCTTCACCTGCCCCATGGCACCTGGTAGCCTGCATGCTGCTGCTTCTCAAGCTGCTTCCTCTCGGGCTACCACGACATCCTTTACTATTTCCGCAGCAGTTCATAGTGAAATCATTTTAGTCAGCAATAAATTTTCTTTCTCTTGGGGTGGACCCCAGTCCTTCACCCCTTCACAGTATCACATGTCCACTGGGGGACACTCGGATGTCTCCCCATCCATAGATGCAGCCTGTTGAAACACTCCTTCCATGAGAGCACTCTGTTCTTTTTCCTCGGTCACCAATGCCTCCTGCCAACTATGCCAATTGTCTTGCCAATGGGTTTCAGCCCTGGACAAGGTCACTAGGATACAATGTGATGAAAGAAATGACACTAGAACGTTCTTGGGGCAAAAGGGTTTATTTATTACCTGGCTTGTTCTCCTGGCGGTAGGTCGAGCACTAGCATCTCTGCTTCTGCCTCTCTACCTGCACAGCCATCCCAGTCTCTGTCTTCGGCACTACCACCACTCCAGTCTCTGCTCTGCTTTCCTGCAGCCTTGCAGCCATACCACTGTGTCTCCCAGAGCATTGGGTGGAGCTCTTTATGTAGAGTCAATAACAACGTATTGCCCACACGTGTGTAGTGAGCTAACTGACCAGGGCCAGGTGAGAATCCTGGCCATAGGAATCTTCACTTTATCCACATCCCCATCACCATACATCCCTCATTCTCATGCACGCCTGGGCACTGACTAGGAGATAACCAGGGTTGGCACAATCCCCTCCCCATCCCCCACCCCCATTCTTCCCATGTCTCTGGGTGGAGTAAGGCTCTAGGCTGGCAGGACCATGGCTATGGCCAGGGCTTCTAGCCACCTTGGTGTACATATTTAATGTGGCCAGGCACAGAGGTTCTAGTGTGTTAGGGGCCACCCTTCTGCATGGGAAGGTGAGTTGACTTCCCTAGCCCAGCAGACCCCAGCTTTCCATTTTGCACTGGGCCATGAAAATTACGGAGCTGGCCCTACCTATGCCCTTTATTATCTATGTGATCTGGAGCAAGGTACTTCGTCTCTCTGTGCCTCTGTTTCTTTCTAGGATGACACTGACAGCAATAATTATTATCTCAAAAGGTGGCTGGGGATTGTTATGAAGATTAAATGTGAGCCAAGTGATGCCTAGTTATCAGCAAGACTAAATAGGTGATGGTTGTCCTTAGTACAATCCCACTAAACAAGACATGATTTACCCCTTTTTGGGGACTTCTCCTAATACCTAGCTGTGGGATTTTGTTTAACAAAGAGGTTTTGTTTGTTCACTTGCTTG